GGCTTCTTGAGTGCTAACACAAGGTTTCTCCTGAGTAAGGTTCCATTCCCTTTCAAACACTTTAATCCAAGACCTGACTAAATAATTTCCCTCACTACTTGCTACTAGCCCAACCTACTTGTCAGATAGTTGATGGGCTTGCTTCCCTTGCTCAAATAATTTTCCCAGGAAAACCTACATTTGCATCTGCAAACTGGATAACTGCTTCACCATCTCATTCGCATTCTTGCCCCACGTGCTCCCTGGGACTCTGGGAACTTTGGGACCTAGGCTGATCTTGCCCCCAAGCTTCCTCAGCCTGGGGCCCTTTCTTTCTTTCCCTGCAAGTGCTGGGACCAGCAAACCCTTCAAAGTTCTGATGTTCTTCTGCCCTGTGGCTACAAGAAAAATCACAGTATCCTCAATAAATCAGAGTGGGGGGAGGGTGAACCCTCTGGTCAAGCTCTAGCCCTGGCTTCTATACTGTGAGTTTCCTGTTACACAACTTAATGCATCCCCATTGGGAGGTCCCCTCTGTTTACAGTTCAAAGTTCTTGCCAGGCAATGTCTCTTTGCATGCCCCAGTTCGCCACATTTCAAGCACATTAACCCTAGGACAATCACTCTTCTTGGCCATAAACTGTGTTTTGTCAGTCTCTTTAAGAGACATCAGGGTCTCTTGCTTCTGAGACTACACATCCTTTGTGACCCAGCCCTTTCTGGATGCGCAACAGTACTCTGCATCAGCCAGTAATCTCCCTTGTTACTCCAGGGGCAAACACAACTTGCATGCCCCCTCTTGCCCACAGTACTTGCACCCCCTTAGCAGGACCATCCGACTTCTTTCCTTTCAGCATCTGTGACAGCCTACATGGACTGCTGGGCTCCCCGCCAACCCTGTGACAAGTGCTCCTGGAGTTGTCACTGCTGCTCCTTCTGCAGATCCAGAATATACGACATCTTTCACTCAAGATGAGTGTAAGCATCGCTCCTTGTTATCATCCCTAGATGATGGGAGGGGGCCTCATACCCCACTTCTAGTACCATACCATAACAAGGACCCTCACCCTAGAGTATCCCCTGGCAGCCCAGTGCAGCCCCACCATTGTGTCTCTGCCTCAGTTTCCCTGAGTGAAGGTTTTATGAAGTCCAATGAGATGCATATATTCAACATCACCCCTTCAGGGGCCTAGTTTATTCAACCCCAAAGGTGGAATACCACACAAACAAGTCTCCATTTCAGCATCTCTAGTAGGTAGGTGCAAGGGCTGAGCCAGCATTAGTCTGTCAACCTAGTTATGTCCCACGTCCCTTACTAGTAAGGCCTTCATGACATGGAACCATTTTCTAGAGTCCAAGGCCTCTTCTTACTAACTGGGGGAGGGTCTCTTCTCCTGGGTCAAGGCCAAACTGCAAAGACCTTTCCTCAGGACAACATCTAATTTCTCTTTTCCAGGGCTTCTGCCTGTTGAAGTCTTTCACGGGAGCCAGGTTTCTCTGAGCCTAATCATTCATAGTCCCTTCCTTCCAGAAACTCTCCCACTGAAGAACATTCTCCCTGGGTTTCCTTCATTGGATTCCCATCCCCTCTGGGAATTGCTTTCTTTATCACGCCCAGGTGCTTCACTGCCTAATTAAATGCCTCCCAATTACTCAGTAAGCCAGATGAACCTGAGTTGCCTCATCCACCCTAGTGCAGCCTGTCAGAGGTAAGCCGAGCCCCTGACTCCTCCTGAGGGCCAGATACCCTTTGATACACTCATATAGCTTATTCCCAAAGTGGAAGGGGAATAATCTATACTGGTATAGATCATCTTCATATAAATATAACTGTGTTCTGATTAGGTACCATACCAGTATAATGATTTAAGTTATAGATTAAAAAACAAAAACCCAACCTACACCCTATCTGACAGCTGTTCACATACAAAATCAGTGTGCAGACCAGCTAAATAAGAACCTCCATTAGGCATCCTGCCAATCCCTTACATATTAATAGTTACTTACCAATTCACAGCATTGTTTAGCACAACCACCATAAAAAGTGATTCCACTGAAGTCTGATTCCAATGTAGTTACCTCCATAGTGCATGTCCCTGGGGGGAAATAAAGCCAGAAATGCATTAGAAAAAAAACCTCAATTTGTATATTCCTCTGAGAGTGCTTACAATGTCTGCAAAATTAAGTTATAACCTAATGTGAGGGGAAATGATCCATTCAGCTTTGAATTTTAGCTTTCCACTCAGGATTGTATAGAAGTGAGGGGGAAGGGATAGCTCAGTGGTTTGAGCATTGGCCTGCTAAACCCAGGGTTGTGAGTTCAATCCTTGAGGGGGCCATTTAGGGATCTGGGGCAAAAATCAGTACTTGGTCCTGCTAGTGAAGGCAAGTGGCTGGACTCCATGACCTTTCAAGATCCCTTCCAGTTCTAGGAGATAATAAATTAATGGAGATATCTTAAGTCCAGATAACCAGTGTTATTATTTGAGGAGTCCCAATCACAGACCAGGACTGTACAAACAAAGACAACCCCTGCGCCAAAGAGCAGTATAAAACTAGAGACAAGAGATGGATAGACCGATGGGGGAAAACACAGCAAACCAAGAGACAATATTGGTCAGCATGATCATATGTGGACTCAGCACACCAGCAGCCTGTTGTCAAGATTTTTGTAGGCTTCATGACTCGGGAAAGTTTTTCGCACTGGACCACAGAGAACAGTCAACTTCATAGAAATTTGTCTCTCCATCCCAAAACTGACCCAAAACACTTTTTTTGTAATTTGCGTTTTACAGCCTGTGCTTTCTTCACTGATCACAGACAACTATGAACATGAACACACATTCATAAAACGCTTTTGGTTTGGTTCAGGGGCAAACTGTCCTGTGATCACTCTCTCAGTCTCTCCATGGGCATTTCTTCCAAGTAGCAAGCCTCTACCTGCACTTCTCCCAGAGCAAAACCCCACAATTCACACTACTTTAGACAGGATCACTTTAGATAAGCTACAACATCCCTCATTTACCAGTCATGTATAGCTCAGCTTGTGCAACTGGGTTTAACTAGACTCCTCTCTGGGAGCTTGCGGCTAATATGAAATGCAGTGGTTCAGGACACGTTCTTCAAAAACGAATTAATTATTCATTCACAGAAACATAACAAGGAGTGAGAATAGGATTTTAAATAAAAAAAAGCCTATACATATATTTCCTACCTAAACCCAGCCCACCCTTGCCTGTTTATGGAGGTTCTACTTAAGCCAAGTACCCCAAGCTTGGCCAGGGTGAGAGACAGGTTGCCCCCTGTAACTGCTGCCTTCCCGATAGGCTGAGCTCTCCAGTCCGCGAGTCTCTCACCTCAGCTCCCTGGTTCAATTTTATCCATTCCGGAGACTCTGTGTTCAGGATTCCCAAGTTCTTTTGTCGGACTTGGCACCCTGCTCCAGAGGGATTTGCGTGTTTCCCCGCAGGGGCGCTTACCTGTAGTCTTTATCATACAGTAGATCCCAGGCATTGTCTATTTCAGTACGGGGCAATTCAAGCAGTCTGCAGTCATGTCTTGGCTCTTGTGACCCAAAGCTAACTAGGGCTGATCGTAACGCTTACAGAACTAACCCGCCAACCCCATTTCACATGACACAGGCACACGTTAGTGCAGACAACGCCAGATCTTCACGGCGGTCAGTCACCACAGGGACGGGTGCTCGCCCGCCCGCCCCTGAAGCGCGGAGGCTGGTGAAGCCCGGGGCTCGGAGGGCGGCCGAAGGCAGGGCCCGGTTCGCGGGGGGCTGGACGCCGCCTCGCGTGACACTTAGTTCACTTCGCCCAAGTTTTCGCGAACGGGGGCGCCGGAAGCTCCTCGGGCCAACCCAGAAGCGACCGAGAGCCCCGGCAGCCTCTCCCCGCGACCGGACGCGGCCTGGCCCCGCCGCAGGGGCTCTGGGGTGCGCGAGGGGAGCCCGGGTGGAGGGGGACTGCGGGCTCCTGTCCCCCCCGTCACTGGGGCATCCCGGCCACGTGGAGAGGAGGCGGAGGCAGCGCGAGCCCAGAAACGATCGTTCAACCGACACCCCGAGCGCCCCCCTTACAACGCCCCCTCCTCACCAGGCCGGGTCGAGCCCCGAGAGCAGCGACACCGCCCGCTTCCTGCTCCGCCGCACAGCCCGGCGCCACGTCCAACCAGCGGAACCTCAGGCTCAACTGCCACTTCCCCGTCCGCCCAGACCTTCTATTGGCTGCCTGCCTTCTGACGTCAGGGAGTTTAGAAAGGGGACCGGGCTCCTCGGGACCCTGCGTTTCCTGCGCGAGCGGAAGAGACGCACGTCGATGGCTCCTGGCGCTTGCTGGTAGAGGCCGCGCAAGCGGGAAAGTGGTTCCGACGGCTTCTTTTAACGTCATGCGCAGGCGACAACTTCGCAGCTCACGCGTGTGTGTCGTTTCACCACGCATGCGCGCGGAAAGAAGTTGCGTTGCGCTCTGGATGTGTCATGGGCGGCTGGGCTGGGCGCTCCGCCCCATTTCTCTCTCTCCCTCGCTCACTGGCCTGGGGAGTCCCGGGCCGCACGCGGAGCAGGCCGGGGGGAGGTGAGAGAGGGGGATGGGCAGAGCGGGAGAACCGGAGGTGCTGCCCCGGCCCGGTGCTGCTGCTACTTCCCCCCGGGGTGTCAAATGGCCGCACTGAGCGCGGCGCGGGCGGCAGTTTTCACGGGGGTGGGAGGAGACGCCCAAGTCCTGAGGACCTCGCAGCCTCCAGGACACCGAGAGCCTCCGGCGCCCGCGCCGCGCCGTGGGGGCGAATGTGGCTCCCGGCCCTCTCTGCAGCGCCGCTGCTGCCCGCTCACCCGCCCCCCTGCGGGAGGCACCTGGGTCTTGGCGCTAGCCGCGGCGAAGCGCCCCGGAGCAGGGGATGGGACCAGGGCCGGCTCCAGGCACCAGCTTCTCAAGCAGGTGCTTGGGGCGGCCGCTCCGGAGAGGGGCGGCACGTCCAGGTATTCGGTGGCAATTCCGTGGACAGTCCCTCACTCCGTCTGGGAGTGAAGCACTTTCCGACGCTGATCCCGATCGCGGCTTTTGGTTTGTTTGTTTGTTTGTTTGTTTTGGCTGCTTGGGGCGGCGAAAACCCTGGAGCCGGCCCTGGATGGGACGAAGGTCCCGGTGTCACTGTGTCGTTGGATTTACTCGAGGGCCTACCTAGGTCACAGCCCGTCTCCGCATTGATGGCGAGGAGGGTTGCGGCTGGTCAGAAAGGCGTCGGGGGTTGGCACCCACAGGCCGTACTCTGCCCGCACTGCCCCGAAGTGGAGTGAGGCGTCTTTTGGGTGCCCAACTCCACTGCAAGAAAAACTGGGCTCCGCACGGGTTTTCGCCCCGGCAGGGGCAGCCTCTGCCCAACAACGTGCTTGGTGCTGAGATGAGCAGGAAATACTGTGTCTTTCAAGCCCTGTCGTCTTGTCTATGTCAGCAATAACTAATCCAGTTAGACTGCAGGTTCCCCTGCCAGGAGCCGTGGCAACAGGTAGCGCTAGTAGTATGGGTCTACCCACATTGCACCAGGAACCACACTACTTGATTCCCATTCCCCACAGCCACATCGAAGATGAAAGTGAGAGGAATAGCATATTCACGAGTTTCTCAGCATCTTCGAAACCTATCCAAAATCCCTATTGTAGAGTTGCGAGGCATTCGGTTTTCAACCGGAACGGTCAAAAAGGGACCCTGGTGGCTCCAGTGAGCACTGCTGATGAGCTGCTAAAAATCCGGTTGGCAGTGCAGCGGGACTAAGTCAGGCTCCCTGACTCAGCACGGCTTCCGGAAGCGGCCGGCATGTGGCTCCTATGTGCAGGGGCAGCCACGGGGGCTCCGCGTGCTGGCCCTGCCCCAAGCGCCGGCTCTGCAGCTCCAATTAGCCAGGAACCATGGCCAACGGGAGCTGTGGGGGCGGCAGCTGCAGGCAGCACACAGAACCCCTGTGGTCACCCCTGCACCTAAGAGCCGGATATGCTTGTTTCCGGGAGCCACCTGAGATAAGCGCTGCCCCTCACCCCCTTCCGCACCCAACCCTCTGCACCAGGTCAGAACCCCCTCCTTCACCCCAAATCCCTCATACCCACCCCCACCCCAGAGCCCACACCTCCAGCCGGAGCCTGCACCCCAACCCCCTGTTCCAGCCTAGTGAAAATGAGTGAGGGTGCTGGAGAGGGATGGAGTGAGTGTGGGCGGAGCCTCGGAGAAGGGGCAGGGCAATGTTCTGTTTTGTGCGATTAGAAAGTTGGCAACACTACCTTAAGGTGATGTGTAGCTAATAGCTTCTTGTAATTAATTTCTTTCTCTCAGTTAAAAAGAAGAGACTAACATGGTTGAAAACTCTCCAGCCCCATTGCCTGAAAGAGCAATATATGGGTTTGTTCTTTTCTTAGGCTCCCAGTTTGGCTTTAGTAAGTATGTTTGCTTTCTGAGTAAAGTGCTACATGTATTTGCTGTATTAAGAGGCAGAAATGAATACTGTACAATAGTGCCTCCAGTAAGATGTAGAAGTTTTTAAAAAGATTAACTCTGTGTTAATACTTCTCAGGTAATAAAAATGTTATTAGTTGTAAAGAAGGACTGAACTGTTATTTGAAGTGTTGTAGCTGTGTTGGGCCCAGGATATTAGAGAGACAAGGTGGGTGAGGTAATATCTTTTATTGGACCAACTTCTGTTGGTGAGAGAGACAAGCTTTTGAGTTTACACTGGGCTCTAATGCTTCTCTCTCACCAAGCTCAGAAGCTTGTTTCACCAACAGAAGTTGGTCAAATAAAAGTTATTACCTCCCAAGCTTGTTTCTCTGAACTGTTGTTAATTTTGCAACTTTATGGGGTAATCCAAGTCTTGTCAGTTCTCCTTTGTATTATCCTTTTGGATTTTGTTCTCCCTGATACTGCTGCTGGTGGCCACATAGCGGAGTGTGCTGAGGGAACAGCTATATTTCAGGGAGTTAGTTGAAAATCTTTCTAGTAGGTTGAGTGTACAGCATATCATGTATACACAGTTGGCACTTTGTGACCTGTGTAGAAGTCAAAGATGCAAAACACAAATTCTGAAAATGGGGACTGATACTCAAAGGATGAAGGCTGACAAAAATCACATCAGTTTCACTGTGCTGCTGCTTTCAGCAATGATGAGCCACAACAGAGCAAGGTGCTGGAGATACTCACTTGGTAAGGAGTGGAGTTGTAAAGAGCCCATACTCTGTTGCAGCAAGTATGAGGCTTTTGAGTGGGGAAAACTAAATAGAGAAGGTATGCTCCTTCTCTTCCAACAGTCAGAGGATAGTTTAGGGACTTCAGATTTAGCATATCAAAGACAGAGATGAAAAATGGAGCACCAGATATTTCAGGGACAGAAAAGCACCTGGCTGTAAGAATCCCAGAATCCTTCCCATTTCAAGCAGCTCAGCAAGGATGGCGCTAAGGAGGACTCCACTTTGCCAAGGGTGTTCCCGAGACTGTACTCTGGGATTCCATCTTCTGTATCCTCTTGCTAGTAACTGTTCTGTTGATCTAAGATGTTGTAAAACCTTAACTTTTGAGCCAAAATTGACCTTACTGTTCCTCTTAAGAGAAATATTTTTGGATTAATACTTGCTTCATTGGCATTGAAATCGGTAATCCCAAATTTACTCCCATTCTAAATATATTTTCAGTAAAACATGCATTTTAAAAACATTTCTTCAAGTACTAGGTTGTAACTCTTGTTTCAGTTTTGTGACAGTTAGGACTAGTGTGACTCTGTTACTTTATCCTTCCCCACCAATTCCCCATTTATATGTTTACTCACTTGCCAGAATTCTAGATTTTGAGCTCTCTGGGGCAAGAGCTGTCATTGTGTGTTTGTTTGCACAGTACCTAGTACAATGCTATCCTAATCCCTATTTTGGGTCTTTGCATTTTATCTTTTCTATTGTGATAGCCCCTTAAGTGGCATACTGTAGTAAAAAACTGAATTATTTAAAAAAGAAAATCTCATTCAAGATGTGTGGAATTCCACTAAAATAACATTTGGTACTCCACAGACGTCTCATTTTGGGAGTTAATTGGTTTTGTTGGGGTGTTTAATGGCTAAATCCTGCTATTCTTGTGTAGTCAAATTACCCATTAACACAGAGGTGGGCAAATTACGGCCTGCGGGCCACATCCAGCCCGTGGGGCCCCTGAGCTCCTGGCCCCGGCCCCTCCCCCGCTATTCCCACTCCCCTGCAGCCTCAGCTCACTGTACTGCCAGTGCAGTGCTCTGGGCAGCAGGGCGATGAGCTCCTGGGGCAGCGCAGCCTGACCCGGTGCTCTGTGCTGTGCCGTGCATGGTTGGCTCTGTGCTGAGCCAGGTGGCGCAGCTGCACCACCGCCAGGCACCGGTGCTCCAAGCAGTGCGGTAAGGGAGCAGGGGGAGAGGGGGATGGATAGAGGGCAGGGGAGTTCGGGGTGGTGGTCAGGGGGGTGGGGGGTTGGATAGGGGGTCGGGGCAGGTCAGGAGGGTGAGGAACGGGTTGAATGGGGGCAAGGAGGGTCGGGGGGGGGGGTTGAGTGGGGGCGGGCGGGGGGGCAAGTCGAGGAGGGAC